AGAGCAGGAACACAAGCAGGGGGAGTGGGAGAGGGAGAAGCAGGCTTCCCACTGAGCAGGGAGCCCGATGTGGGGCTCGATCCCAGGACCCTGGGACCACGACATGAGCCGAAGGCAGACGCTTAACGACTGAGCCACCCAGGCGCCCCTAAGATAATTTTCTAAGTGGAATGCTCATCAAAGGGCAAGAACATTTTCAAGTGAAATTAGTAACTGCTGTTGCCCTCCAAAAAAGATTCACAGTCCCACCAATAGCGATGTTTTTTGTTTTTTTTTTTTTAAGATTTTATTTATTTGAGAGAGAGAGAATGAGAGAACACATGAGAGGGGATAGGGTCAGAGGGCGAAGCAGACTCCCCACCGAGCAAGGAGCCCGATGCGGGACTCGATCCAGGGACTCCAGGATCATGACCCGAGCCGAAGGCAGTCGCCCAACCAACTGAGCCACCCAGGCGCCCCAATAGCGATGTATTTGTGTGTGTTTCTCCATGTCCTTGCCAACATTGGATTTACTTGTCCCAACTTCCGTCTGAAAGCCTTCAGATTTTGTGTCATTCTTGGAAATGCCTTTATTATTCCAAGATTTTAAAATATTTACCTGTTATTTTCTGGTGCTTATTTATGTTTTGGCCATTAAAACTGTAATCTCTCTGGAATTTGTTTTGGCATTGGGTATGGAGTAGGAATCCAAGCATTTTTCTAAGTGGTTAGCAATTTTTTAAAAATACTATTTGGTGGGGGCACTTGGGTGGCTCAGTTGGTTAAGCTTAATTCCGACTCTTGATCAGTTCAGGTCTTGATATCAGGGTGGTGAGTTCAAGCCCTGCATTGGGCTCCATGCTAGGCGTGGAGGCTACTTTAAAAAAAAAAAAGTTCCAGGGGCGCCTGGGTGGCTCAGTCGTTACAAGTCTGCCTTTGGCTCAGATCATGACCCCAGGGTCCTGGGATCGAGCCCCACATCGGTCTCCCTGCTCAGCGGGAAGCCTGCTTCTCCCTCTCCCACTCCCCCTGCTTGTGTTCCTGCTCTCGCCATCTCTCTCTCTGTCAAATAAATAAAATCTTAAAAAATTCCATTTGCTGGCAAATTGTTTTCTTCACTGGTTGTTGAAGTGGCATTTTTTTTTTTTTAACATATGTACTCAGATCTTTTCTGGTAACTGAGTTTTTTGAATAACATCAAACCAACTTTTGCTTTATTCCCCTTAATGCTTAATTACAGAGGAACAATTAAAAATATTGGTAATGCGTGATATATTTGTACAACTATATAAATCACCCTATTTAATCCTCATAGGGAAACCGATACTCAATAGTTGTTTTGTAACTTGCCCTAAGGTTACACAGCTTATCTCCCTTTCTCTCTCTTCTCTTCCTTTTACTGCCCCCCCCCCTTCAGATCACTGGATAGGCTTGGTGCTTTAAAGAGGGGTGGTGCTCTCTTCTGTATGGTCTTAACAATTGTGGAAGTAGATAATATCCTAATGTCTTTTGGGTGGTTATTAGGTAGATAGCTTACTAGTCAGTCTTGCTCTCAGATGAAATATTCGGGGCTCTCAGATTGAACTATTATAATTAGTTACCATCCACTTGACCCCGTTTGGTTTTAGGTAATGGATGGCAGACAGCTTCAAAAGATCATTGAACTTTCAAAGTGAAAACTGAAAACTGGCTTTGTCCTGTTTTGACAGTAAAAAGAATTTGTGTGTTTATATTAGGGTCAGCCTGGCTATAGTCACATTTTAAGCCCTTGTCAAATAGATTAGATGTAAAATTTTACTTATGACTCTGTTTCCAAGATCTTTAAATACCTGCAAGTTTATTTTTAGCGATTTATTTGGAGAATTTTTTTTTAAGATATCTTTAGTCTTTTCTCTGAATTGTATAAAATAAACTTATTAAATCATGGTGAGATAGTTGAATATTTGTTGTTAGAGTTTACTCTTTTTTGATCAAAAGGTAGTTTATGGACTCAAAGAGTGGCTTACAGGTAGAAATCAGTTCTGGTTACCTGTTTGTGGGGGAGGGTGGATATTGGTTGGGAGGGACATGATAGTACCTTCTGGGAAGCTGGAGATGTTCTATATTTTGATCTGGGGGCTGGTTTTTCCAGTGTATACATTTGTAAAAATTTGTCAAGCTAGGCACTTTTAGTACATTATAGCTCAAGTTTCCCCCCCCATGTTTTG